AGAGACCATAAATTGCTGCCAACATCAAGGAAGCAAGATTGTAAAGGTTTGTCATGTCATGTTACTTTGACATTTGCTTTTGATAATTTCACAAATGTAAACAATAAAATAAAATTTTCATAATTACTTGCGGATGAAGCCGCACGGGAACAGCTTGTTTAAACTAAATACTGAAATACCATTTTCATTTTCTTACAGATTAAAACATTTAAATGTCAAAGCGAGAATGTATTTCAAGAGATTTTTTTATATAACATAAGGTGGCAAACGAGCAAGCGGCCACCTGAATCCGCCAAAACGGCGAAGCGACTGCCCATAGACATCCGCAATTGCAGATGCGTTGCCAACCCTTATACTACGGTGGAGAAGACGCACATAAAAAGGATATTTCCCCTTCCTATGCATCACCTCCGCAGTCAAATCCACTTCCCCTTACCATCCCCTCCTTATAAGAAAAGGGTGGTAAAGAGAAAGGGACTTAAATTAGGCCTACGGCCACACTCATCAGATGAAACATGGAATTGCTTCCATTTGACGCCTGTCTTCTGTGAGGTCGTGGTATTGGTGAGAGCCCTGCAGTGCTAAAATGTTAAAGCGGGCACTACCACTGTTATAGAAAGTTCTATAAAAAACCTCAAGTTCCGGTAACATTACTCATTTAAGCACTATGACAACGGATGTAAGAATTTTCAATAGAATTTGATTCATTTACTTACAAATTTCAATGATCAAACACAGTCTTACTTGTTACCCTAACTATAAGATAGAAAAAGCAACCTTATCCCTTTTATAATAATAGCGAAAACCGACATTAAATTTTTTTTAATACGGATCATTCCTTAGTAACTCGATGATATCATTTCCATAACGAAAATATGACTACACTACTTTCATTATACAAATTTATATCTAAGTGAATGGTTTTAAAGTTCAATTTCGCGTAATATCTTACAATGACGTACATCCAGGCGTGGCGTGTGTTGTACAAATAAGTCATCGATTTATAAATTCTAGGAAACCTTGGTTTTTATCTATTGATAAGCGACGACCGTTAAATTTTTATACCTGCACAAGCTGTTCCCGTGCGGCTTCATCCGCATTCAATTATAAAAACTTTATTTCATTTGTCAAATTCTCAATTGCAAATGTCAAAATTACCTTTACCATTGCTTTTTTTTATAACATAAGGTGGCAAAAGAGCAAGCGGCCACTAGAATCCGCCGAAATGGCGAAGCGACTGCCCATAGACATCCGCAATTGCAGATGCGGTGCCTTATACGGAGGAGGAGACGCATAAAGAGGATATTTCCCCTTCCTATGCATCTCCTCCAACGTCAAATCCACTTCCCCTTCCCAACTTCTCCTTACAAGAAAAGGATGGTAAAGATAAAGGGACTTAAATTAGGCATTTCCTTAAAGTTGGCAGCTTGAAAGTTTTTTTTAAATTGATTAACAGGGGGTTAGTTTGATAGCGTGAAAATATATAGCCCAAAGCGTCTCGTAGGTGTAGGGCTTTTTATTGAAAAAAAAAAATATTCAAAAATATGCTGTGATTGCTGACATCCTACGTTACAAAGTAGTGTGTGTTTACGCTTTATTATATTAGTATAGAAGTATAGATTGTGATTATTAGACATGAATTGTCCACAAACTTCGTAAAACAAAATGAAATTTAAATTACCGCGTCAATAAGCTATTTTCCAGTCAAATTTCCGTCTAAATCATTCCACCCGTTTCAAAGGTAGCGATTTTGACAGCGCGGAATTAAAATCTTTCACGCTTATTAAAGCGGAAGAACCATTAACCATTATTCCTGTCTTTTACTTTAAAAAAAAACCTATTGAGTGATCTTGGATAAAATTGCTTTATCAACAACTAGCTGTTCCCGTGCGGCTTTATCCGCATGAAATTATGAAAATTTCATTTTATTGTTTACCTTTGACAAATTATCAATAGCAAATGTCAAAATGACATGATATGACAAATTTGGCATTCTTGCTTCCTTGTTGTTGGCAGCAACTAATGGTCTCTTTCCCACATTAGGGTATTTAGCCAATTTATTTACCCCCTAAGTTTTGTAGCGTGAAAATATATAGCCTAAAGCATGACGTGAGTGTAGGGCATTTTATTAAAAAAATAATCATACAAAAATATGCTGTAATTGCTGTCATCTTAGACAACAAAGAAATGTGTTTACGCTTTATTATAATATACTATATATAGTATAAAGTATATAGTATAGATGTAACAAATTTTAAATTACAACCTAAAGTACATTAAAATCTACGTTTTAAAAACCTCACTTTCAAATGTGTGCCTATCTGTTAAATTATTAATTACTAACTATAAATAAATAAATAAATCACAAAAAATAGTATTTCATTTATGACCGGTTTCCCAGCTTTTAACAAATCGTTAGTGTTTTGGTGCGATAACATGAAGTATGATATATTTCCATTGAAAATTACAACGTAACACTAACTAAGTAGTGATAAAATAAATAGAATCTTCAGCAAACCCGCATTAATTGTATACATTGGTCCTGATACACTACCTTGAGGCATTCCATACTAGAATTTATTCATTCGTACCCTTATTATCTTATCATTGCACGATATCGCGCACCTTTACTCTGAATTTCGAAATATTGATAAGATATCAACGCGAACGCTATGCGATATTTTTAAATAACTATAACATAGGGCTAACGTATCAAACGGTACAGTTAAAACGGTGTTTTCCGGACGTGTTGGGACATTTTGTCCTATTGTGTTATCTGTGAGTGCTCAAGAATGGGTTTCAAGGAGTTTTTATTGTTTTTCCTAATCAGCAGTGTTACTGGACAGATTCGTAAGTTATGTAATCTTTTTAATGTAAATGTGACAGTTTAGATGGATATTAGAGTGCGCTAAAATGCTGAACCGATCTCGATGTAAGCATAGTAGAGGATAGTCTGGAACACAAAGGGTACTTACTTTTTATCCACGCGAACGGATCCGCGGGCGAAAGCTAGTTTATGATAATATGGATTTAGATAAATACATTTTAGTAAATTTGATATACTTTAAATTATAAAGCCCCAAACTAGTAACGTAGATTTGCTGTTGTCAACTTTTAATCAACGCAAGAGGAGAGGCACATAAAGAAGATTATTCTCTCTTGCTGTCTCCTTCTTCGTTAAATACATTTCCCATTCCCATAATAATCAAAGGGTAGGAAGGAAAAGAGAACTTAAATTATACCTTCAACATGTACATTGTACGCGAATTGCTTCCATTTACCGCGTGTGTAGGGAGGAGCAGCTGCATCCCACTCCTAGGGAAACAATGTAGACTTAATAATTACTACATATAAAACCATATTGTTGGCAACACCTACATCTAGTCTTCTTAAACATCAGCTGGCCACGCCCGTGTCAGTTTTTAAGTAAAATTCATTATTTTTCATTTATTCATATAAGTATACACAACAGCTAATTTAATTACATAAGAAAATAGAACAAGTATACCCAATTTTTTAATTTGGTTTTATTTTATTTTTGAAGCAACTTTTTGATAGGTGAAAAATATCTACATCGCTGAAATGTTCATTGTACAGGTGGGGTAATCGAGTTAAAATGGAATTTTTACCATAATTAGTTCGGTGAAATGGAACGTAAAACAATATAGTTTGGACGTAATCGCATTTCTCAAACTTAAAATGTTAGTTAGTTAGTAGATTTGAAATAAGACAAATTTACAAAAGAAGTAGTTACACTTGACACTTCATTTGAAATATTTTTTGTCATAACTAACGCTATCTATTGATAAATCCTCAAAACATATCCGTTTCATTGTATTTAAATTTACTACCAATAGATGTCACCGTGCTTCTTAATATTATAAATGCGAAATTTTAGATGGATGGATGTTTTGTTTTGATGAAATTTGTCATAGAACATATAGGCTACTTACTTTAAAGTAATAAGATAGATAAGTTTGTTATACGACAGGTATCTTACTAATATTATATCCGATTGTTGGGATGGAGGGCTGTTTGTTAGAGGTTGTAGCCTAAACGGCTGAACGGATTTCTATGAAATTTAACAATATGTAGAGGGTACTCTGGAAGAAGTCATAGGATATATACTTTTGTTTTCAAAGGGCAAAAATTAGTTAAACAACATCTGATATTGAAAATTGTATATTGTAACACTGATTAGTTTATTTTCTAATAAAAGTTGGTGAACAAATATTCACTATTTCTCGTCTATTTTTGACAATGTTAACTCGAGCCACATCTAACAAATTTGTGTCATAAACATTTACCAAAAAGTCAATTTAAATCTGTCACAAATACATCCAACATTAATAAAATTGTAAATAGATAAACGTAAGTATTGTTAAATATTAACATATAAAATAAATCTTATATTTTAAGTATTAGATATTCTTTAAAATAATTATCTTTGGATATTAACCTAACCTATAAAGTTATACATTTGTAACTGTTCCAAAATTAATGAAATTGAAGGAAAAACGCTTTGGTTCTTAACCTACGATAGTAGTTCGATATCTTTACGTAGTTGCCTTAGAGTTTGTCTAAATAAGATAGATTAGTTTGATTAATGACGCATATGAAGTATCGAATTCAATTTATATGAAGGCTGCCGTACTTAGACAGGTATCGTAGTGACGAAACACGCAGCGAACAATTATGAACTATTGATATTCGGTTTAAATAATTATCGAACTCAACTAAAATTATTATTTCCTTATTCACTAATTTAGAGGACTATTCTAGTATTGATTATAGTGTAGACAATTTAGCCATGACAGAAATAATAGCGAAATCCAATTCGATTACGTACGGCTTTAGTAGTAATAAATATTTACTTACTCTAATTATTTGTAATGATTCTACAGGTCATTACCAATTTGAGAAAACAGTACTTTTTTAATTAATAAGTTATAACTATGAATCTATCGATTCCAACTTCTATAAGAATAAAAATCGAAAATTGAAAAAATTCATGGTTTTACACAACCCATCTCTACTAAATTGTCAAACTAATCTATCTTATTTAGACAAACTATAATGTTACTTTTAAAGTAATAACAAGTATTTTTAATATATTAACAATGGTAATTTTCGATTTTTTGTAATATCTTTTAAAATCAATGTATCGAAATATCTAAAATTATTTGTATCCAGTTATCGGAAAACATAACTGTTATCGCTAACATAAAGGTAGGGCATTCATTTGAAAGTCATATGACGATTTTAGATAATAATTATTTATGTAACACTTATGGAAATATAATTTTTAAATAATATCACATATGTACGAATATTCAACATCAACACATCCCCACTAAGAGAGAACCTACCCTATGTTTGGGGTGACTGGGATATAGTTAACCATTTTTTTTTTCGAAGCGGAATGCGTTACGCATAGCCATGTATTACACGTCCTTACTAAGCACTAAGGTGGAACCTACTCTAAGTTAGAAGTGACTAGGCCATAGTCAAACACACTGCGTGTTGAAAAATGAAAAAATGAAAATGAAAAAATATTTGTTAAACCAAAAAGATTGTACAAAACAAATAACTTTGACAATACCTTAAAATTATACATAACAGGAAGTTAAAATAGTCGTTATTTTAAGTTATTCTAGCTAAGCTTATCTGGTGATGGCTACACTAGGCAATGCCTGTATCGTGGCCACCGGAATTCACAGATACAATATATTCTGACCACAAAATTACATAAACCCACTCTCACGGCAGTGTTTTAGTATTTAATCATAAGTTAATCAAGTTTAAACGTTGACTTCACACACTTTGAATTTCTTAACGATAGAT